TTTTTACCCTCAATGCCAAGGTAGACCTAGGTACTTTGAAATTTTTTGCCGCGTCATCTAGTGTGTGGGTCTTACTTTGTACGGCTCTTATAGCATTTTCCATAGCTTCATTAGTGTAAATTTTATATGGAGTGTAGTTTTTTCCGTTACGCGAATGGCTCATGGTCTTTCAATAATTGCGAACCATGTTCTCTGGAAACAAAAAAAATGTAAATTTACTCACACTAAAAGGTAGGTAGCATTGATATTTCAGAAAACGGGGATATTTTAGAAGACCGGGGATATTTTGGAATAATAAAAAAATTCGTCCAGAATAGCCCCGATCTTCATAAAGGTCCGTAAAAAAATTTGGGGCAGCCTAATGTTCATAACTTTATTGCACAATGATACTAACATTCACACCAATTTTTACCCAAAACTTACCTGCTACAAGTCTCACCTGCGACTCACTAGCACTGAAAGTTTGACAGGCTCAAATATTGATTGATTTCCCGCCTCGCTTTCAATGCACATTAGACCGCAACCACGCTCTTACGAATACTAAAATCATCTGCTGTTTGATAAGTAAGGTTCTGCTCTCTACAATTACAGTGTAGTTCACGCGGGATTGTGTTGTGTGTAAACAAGAGTTGCCAGATGAAGCTACAGGTTATGAGTTCTAAAATATCCCCGCTTTCCAATTTAGCCCCGTTCTACGGTATCAGTGCAGTAAAATAAAAACTGTGGTATCAACATGAGTCAAGTACACACGGAAATTTACTGGAGAAAAATTGTACATAATCTATACTAGAACTCCATTATAGTAGACACCTAATTCTAAGAAATATTATTGTATTGAAACGAAAACAATGTTGTCAGGTTGTGATTGTATATATTTTATCGTCTGATGAAATATATAGAATGATAAAATTTATAGAGAACAATGTTTTCGTTTCAATGCAATGAATTTTTTTAAATTTGGTGCCTACTATCATGATGAAAGTTTAGTAATGAGTGATTTTTTTGCTGGTATCTTTTTGGCAACACTGTTTTTGACAGATNGGCATATTCATAGCATAATACAATATCCTTAAATGTATATTCATAAAATATACCTGGAATATCTATTGCTATGTGGGTAACTTTAACCATGAATCGACTCACGAATAAACAACGCTTGCAAATTATTGAATTTTATCATCAAAATTCATGCTCGGCGAAGAAAGTGCATCGTGCACTTCTTCCAATTTATGGGCAGTTTTGTCGGCCTACTGAGGAAGCTATTCGGAAGCTTGTGACTAAATTTCGAACCCAGTTTACATTATTGGACATTTAATCACCAACACGCATACGTAGAGTGAGGACCGAAGAAAATATTGCGTCTGTATCCGCCAGTGTTCATGATGACCGTGAAATGTCGATTCGCCGCCGTTCGCAGCACTTGGGCCTGTGTTTCTCCACTTCGTGGAAAATTTTGCAAAAGGATTTGGGTGTAAAACCTAATAAGATGCAGCTGGTGCAAGAATTGAAGCCACAGGACCTCCCACAACGTCTAACATTTGGTAAATGGGCGCTGGCAAAGTTATCGAAAAATTGTGTTCAGCAACGAGGCTCAATGGTTGAATGGATACGTTAACAAGCAAAATTACCGCATCTGGGGTGAAGACCAGCCACAAGCATTGCAAAAGCTTCCGATGCATCCCGAAAAAGTCACTGTTTGGTGTGCATTATGGGTCGGTGGCATCTTCGGGCCGTACTTCTTCAAAGACAATAATGGCCGAAAGAATTGGACATGCCTGACATGTGGTTTCAACAAAACGGTGCCATATGCCACATGGCACGCGAAACAATTGCCCAATTAAGAGCTGGTTTCGGTAAACAGTTCATGTTAAGGCTCATGTTTACAGGGATAAACCAGCAACGACTGACGCTCTGGAAGCCAATATTGAAGCAGTTATACGTGAAATACCGGTCGATATATTAGAGTATGCATTGCCCACCTAAAGCAGAGCCGCGGACAACATTTGCATGAAACCATCTTCAAACATTAAATTATATTGATCGTTCTATCGATTCCAATGTAGATTTCATCAATTTTTCAAAATTTTGTGTGTTGTTTTGAAAATCAAATCCTATACCTCTTGGAAAATCAACCGTTATATACTTATAAATGCAAAAGTCACTCACTTAACACACATTAATCTCTGTTTCTCCGTACTGGTAAGTCCTAGGAAGCTAAAATTTGGTATATAGGTAGTTTTCATGTCATAAATGCGCATTAAGATAGTATTAACAAATATGTCCACTTAGGTGCCCCCTTTGGGGATATATGGGGCGCGTTTGTATATGAAAATTACCTTTTCATTACTGTTTCTACGTGAAGTTACTTTTTCTTCACCGTTTCTCCGTACCGCTATGTTTTCGGGGGCTAAAATTTTGTATGTAGCTTCATTTTACGTTTTAGATGTGCAATAAGGAGGGGTTTTTAAATATTCCAACTGGGGCGCCAGCAGCGGGGGAAAAAGGAGCGTCCATCATTATTTCTTCATGCTCTTAAATTTCTGGTGGTGAATTTATATTCAGCATCAGCATTGCACCCACGCGGAGACGGGGCGGTTTGCTAATAATGTGTATTCAAGTTAATGTTTATCAATTTTCAACATGATATTTTCTTGCAGTCTTTATGGCCAAACTGGTGTCCAAATATAGATTGAAAACTGCCATCCGCACAGATGAGAGAGTACGACTAATGAATGAAATCATTTCCGGCATCCAAGTCATCAAAATGTACACCTGGGAAAAGCCGTTCAGCAAATTGGTGGAACTTGTTCGAAAGTTAGTAGGTATATAATTTTTATCTTGGAATTGTAACTTCACAGTCAGAACTACTGACTTGTGTCAGGTTAGTTGTAGATGCGATTTTCATTGGTTCCATTATATTTTAATTATCCGCTTTTCTCTTTATGAAAGTTACCAATGGGGGCTCGCTGAAAACGTTACCTTCTCACGATATACGTCAATTTCAGTTACAGTTACTTGTAAAATTCCCTCGTAAAGTTCATTCCACAAATACACCACCCTTCAAAATCGAAGAATTCCTGAGAAGTGTACCAAGAAGTACAGAGTGGGCCAAATTGGATACTGTTTTCGAACCAGATACATGAAAACTGATAGCTGGGTCTGGAAGTCAAATTTTATGACAGACTTAATAGTGAAAGCCACATATCGATATCTCTTTCCTGTCAAAAATCTATTGTTTCTGTGAAAACATTTCAGAAATACTCTTTTATGTTCGATGGTGTAAAAAACTTGTTTTTTCAATTGAGACATTAATAGTTATCGATGGAAAACTATTTTTTTCATTAGGACACATTTGTATATTTCGATAGAGCTTAAAATTACCTTTCCAAAAATGAAGCACACTTGATGTTTTGCTTCAGTCATCTTTGAAATACAGATCTTTTGAGTTTTTTCATGCGGCGATAAAACAGAATGCAAATCTTTACTGGTAGTTGTCAAATTTTTATTTAAGCTGTAAAGACTCTCTTCAATTAGTGGTTTTTTTCAATATTCAAACACATTCGCTATGAAGTATGAGAATTATGAAAAATGGGATATGACAGTCTGTTTCATACAAACCGGGGAAAAAGCAAAAGAATCAAGCAGTTTGTATCATGAGCGGTATCTAGAGAGGAGACAACCTTTTGAACATTTTCTCAAGAATGCGACAACCTAATTGATGGTGGAAATCTGAAAATATCGACAGGCCTACCAAAAAAAACGTTAGAAGGATTTTGAAAAAACACAAATCCAAGTCATAAAAGACCGGAAGAATTCATCAACTCAGTCCAGGAGATTTTGAACGCCGCATGGCTTTTCGCCAGTGGTTCCTGAAAAGTTGTAACCAAGTGCGTGATTTTTCGTTGAATTGTATTTGAATAGACGAAGTTTCCGTGAGCAGTATCGGCATTTTCAACCGCTACAATTCTTACGCTTGGGCAAAAAAAATATCCTCATTCTATTGTGGAGCAGAAAAGTCAAGAAAGATTTGCATTTAGTGTGTGGGCAGGAGTTTTCAGGGGTAGAATTATCGACCCGTTCATTTATAATGGCACTCTCACATCTCAGAGGTATTTAGAAATTTTAAAGTAAAATATTGAACCCCTTGTTGATGAATTGCCATTAATGGAGCTCAGGACAAGACGGGGCTTCGCCTCACAACACTGCAACTGTAACCAATTTATCGACTGCAAATTTTGGTAATAATTGGATAGCCAATCAAGGACCCAACCGTTGGTCGAACAGGACACCAGACCTAACGCCTATGGACTTTCACCTCTGTGCAAAGTTGGAAGTTTTTTTTTCAAATTGCCGAGCAATTCTAGATACGAATTGAAAGCGTCATTTAGTGTGTGGGCAGGAGTTTTCAGGGGTAGAATTATCGGCCCGTTCATTTATAATGGCACTCTCACATCTCAGAGGTATTTAGAAATTTTAAGGTGAAATATTAAACCCCTTGTTGATGAATTGCCATTAATGGAGCTCAGGACAAGACGGGGCTTCGCCTCACAACACTGCAACTGTCACCAATTTATCGACTGCAAATTTTGGTATTAATTGGATAGCCAATCAAGGACCCAACCGTTGGTCGAACAGAACACCAGACCTAACGCCTATGGACTTTCACCTCTGTGCAAAGATGGAAGTTTTTTTTTTCAAATTGCCGAGCAATTCTAGATACGAATTGAAAGCGGCAGTGATCCAAAGTTTTGCTTCTCTCACTCCTATTGTTCGGACTACTGTGTACTATTGTCAATGTCAAAACCGTCTTCTTTATGAACAAACCATGATCAATTATTTCAACATACTAAGTGAACAAAATTATTTTAAAGCCTCGTGATGAAATCACTGCATTTGACATATTATTCTTCAATTCATTTCCGTTGAGAATCTGTACATTTGTCTCCATATTGTCATGTACCTGATATACTTGTAGAATTAGGACAATCAACAATCTCCTCATGTTTTTCTTGTTTTTCTATACCGAGGATTCTTGTAGTTTTACATTTTTTGCACTGTTCCTCCTGGACCTCCGTATTTTTAGTACTTCTTCTGCTGGCAATGAATCTGGAAATGATTCCGAAGGCTGTCTGTCAACGAAATGTAAACCGCAAATGTATATTCGTTCACATCGTTTATAGAAACGTGACCGCACTGAGTTACCCACCTATGGCATTTTTGACATCCTGGTGTAGAGGGGTTAGTTACCCCAAAGTGGGGTAAATACCAGGTTCTAGGACCACGTTTCTCTGCTTCAGTCATATCAAGCTTCCGAATGTAACGTTTCTTTAGATATTTTTCAATTTTCTTGCCATAATCTTTCGCAAAACCTATATTTCTGTCCATTTTTCTTTGCATACATTTTAGACGATTAAGTGATACTGCTTTACTATCAGGTAATGTTACATCATCATTCTTTCACATACCTATTTCAAAGTGATTTCCAACTCGATTAATGGTAATTTCCATTATTTTCAACGCCCTATCATCTTCTTTAGATCTTTCATTTTCTTCCGGGCTTCTTATGCCAGAATTGTCAATTTTGAATGATTCTCTCACTAGATTGTGAATATCTTCATCAATTTGTTCTTGAGATTCACAACAAACGTGAAATATTAAAGACGATTCATCAGCAAGTTTCTCCTGGGGGTATCTGGCATTTACTACCCATCCCAGTAATGTTTTTGATACAAACGGTGTATTCCAGTAACTTTGATATATCTTCCTCGCAATAGTCAAAGCACATTGATCCTGACCAATAAGAATTGTTGGTTGTGCATCATAAAAGGAAAGTACAGGTGATTCTTTGATGTATGGATAGATTCTACTCAGGTATTCGACATCAATGGTTTGTCTTGGAAGTGAGAGTCCACTTACAGTTCGAACTTCATCCATTTTGTATTTTTTTTTGAGTTCTCTTCCATTGAAGATACCTCTTCTGTCACTTTTGTGGAGTTTTCTTCTTTTTTGGTAACATTGTTACCATTGCTCGAAGGACCAATGTTCGGACAAGTCAGTCCTACTGTGAATTCCTCTGATTTAAAGTCGAAAAAACCAGGAATCAAACGTTTCAAGTCAATATCTTTATTTTATAACTTTTCAAATTATTGTCAATGTCAAAATCATATTTTTTTTATAAATAAACCATGATCAATTACATAGTGAGTGAACAATATTTATTTAAAGCAACAACACCTATTGAACTAATTAATTTGGCAAAATACGTTCAGAAGAGTTGTCCCTTTGTTTAGAAGAAACTGGTAGATATTTCGAAAACCTTCTCGAAAGAAATGCATTCTATTGTTTGTTCTTTATCATCATTATTATCATTGTTGAAGTTTCATTAATTAGTAGAGAATATAGAATACATTATCAGTTTTATTGAAATTATACTTTTCAATTACTGCTGTGAAAAGCTTTCTCAACATTTGATAGCTACTACTGAACAATTTTATTGACGAATACCTCTAGCATAAATCGTATCCGAAATTCTGATTCATCAAGATTATGACATGCGCTACTCATGCTCAACCAAGCGGGACTTCAGGCCACAATACTGAACCTATTCAACTCATTCATTTTATTCGGCAACAAAATATATTGAAATCACCCCCTAATTATCATCCCAATTAAAAATACTCTCTAGAAGGTTGACCGGTTTGAAGTGCTGAGTTTCCTGGCAGATGAGTGTCTCTTCTGTAAGATATTTTGTGCTTCAGTCGCACGCTGTGATTTTATCTGACTGACGTTTTTACGAGTCTACTACTTATCCTTTGCAAGGATTTTTTGAAATGATATTTGAATTCATCCGAGTGTAGAAGTTGGTAAAACTGAATGTTTTATATTATTATCTGAAATAACACAAAGTGATCTTCATTTTCATTTTCAGGAAGGAAATCGATCAGATCAAAGCAACATCCACAATTAAAGCCCTAACAAAATCTTGTACTAACGTCCTGAGTAGAATTGCCGTATATCTCTGTATCTTAACGCATATCTCAACTGGGAATCCTCTCACTGCTACATACATATATACACTTGTTTCATTCTATGGAGTGCTTAAACTTTCCGTTACCGGGTTCGTACCTCAGGCGATGACACAGTTTGCTGAAACGCGAGTTTCAGTAAAGAGAATCAAGAAGTTTTTATTATACGACGAACTCCCAGAGAAATCAATAACCACCAACGCCTCAGTTAATGGACTCAGTACAAAGCATGGGAACGAATCTAGATATGGTGGTATTCGAATAAGCATGAACAATGTTACAGTGAGATGGTCGGACTCATTTCCTGAAGATACTTTACACTCAGTTGATTTTGATGCTACCTCCAACCAGTTGGTGGCTGTTGTAGGCCCAGTAGGTGGTGGAAAAACATCTCTACTCAACGTGATATTGAAAGAACTACCTCCACGTTCAGGTACTTTGGAAAATGAGGGAACCATTTCTTATGCTTCGCAAGAACCTTGGATTTTTGTAGGTAGTATAAGGCAGAATATCTTGTTTGGACAAGCTTACGAACCTAAGAAGTACGGAGAAGTTATAAGAGTGTGCGCTCTTGAGAGCGACCTCGTTAAATTTCCTCACGGAGACAGAACCCTTGTAGGGGAGAGGGGTGTCACCCTCAGCGGGGGTCAAAGAGCTAGAATCAACTTAGCCAGAGCGGTATACAAAGAAGCAGACATTTATCTCTTGGATGATCCTTTATCAGCTGTAGACACTCATGTTGGCAAACAGCTTTTCGAAGAATGCATCTGTGGATACCTTAAAAATAAATGTGTCGTTTTGGTAACACACCAAATCCAATACCTCAGGAGTGCCCATTGTATATACTTACTTGAAGACGGTAGAGTCCACTTCAAAGGTACTTACGAAGAGTTGAAAACTTCTGAGACACATTTTATGAAGCTTCTGGCCGAATCCAAAAAAGAAGTGGAAGAAAATGAGGAAGTTCTTGCAGTAGAGAGTATTCACCGAGAAGGCAATATATCAGATGAAACGTCGCCTATGATTCCTCAGAAGGAAAAGGTAGCTTCTGGAAATATTACTTGGCACGTATACAAGAGTTACTTGAGGGCTGGGGGAAGTTGGTTCAAAATAGTTATGCTGCTTTTAGCGTTTATAATGAGTCAAGGACTCGGCAGTATGATTGACTGCTTTTTAACCATATGGTGAGTAATGAAAACTACTCCTATATAAGTGACTATTCATTCCAGGAAACCTTTTTAGGGTCAATTCGGAGCAATCAAGACACCAGCAGAGCAATATAACATCATTGTCAACAGCATCTGTTATGAAAAATGTATCCGAGAATATTGTAACATCTCCTTACCGATCTGAAAATTGGTGGAATTCTAATCTTACAACGGAAATCTCCCTCATTATTTACAGCTGTTTACTCATGTTGAGTGTAATCATAAACCTAGTGAGTGAAATTGCATTCTTCAGATGTTGTATGAAGGCTTCAGTCAGGTTACATAATTCAATGTTTAGCAAGATCATACACTCATCTATGGGATTTTTTAATACAAATCCGTCTGGGAGGATTCTGAATAGATTTTCGAAAGATATTGGAGTGGTAGATGAAATTTTACCCTTAACTATCATTGATACTATTGAGGTGAGCTACACAAATGATAATTCGCTATTTCATTTTATTTGATAGGTTAGTCATTGCCCATTTACAGTGTAGTTACTTGATAATTTTCTTTTTAGTTTGGAATGTTGGTAGTGGCCGTAAGTTTTATCATTGGCATACTCAATCCCTGGATACTGCTCCCAACTACAGTTATTCTCATTATATGTAATTTTCTGAGGAAAGCATTTCTTGTTTCGAGTAGAAACATCAAACGTATCGAGGGTATAAGTGAGTATTCTATAATAGACAAATACCATATCACAAAAAACTCTTCAATGATATTATGTTTGAACTATTTAGTTTTTCTATAAACTTTACACAGCGCGTTCAGCAAGTTACCTACTTGTATTTTCGAGTATTTTTCCAAAAACCACGATTTCTAATTTTTCAGCACGCAGTCCAGTATATACACATCTAGCTGCTTCTCTTCAAGGTTTATCGACTATTAGAGCATTTGAAGTCCAGGAAATCTTATCCAAGGAATTTGATAACTTGCAAGATTCGTACACCTCAGCATATTTCATGTTTTTGAGCGCAAACAGAGGATTTGGATTCTGGCTCGACATTCACTGTGTCACCTACATTTTTTTAGTGACAATCAGTGTATTTTTCATTCAAAATGGTAAGACTTGAAAATAACTCTTTAGAACGTATTAACTACTTGTCTTCAATATATCGGTCATAGAGTGAATAGGTATTGACATAAACTCACCATATTCCATAAGTTGAGGCAACTACTCCCTTCTTCACTGATATATATTTTAGTGCATAGTCTCAATGATCAAAACACTAAAGAACAGTACAACATCATTCCTTGATTCATTGTTCTGTGTTATTCAATCATTCCATTTAAGATATATTCCTCCACGGAAACATCATTGGTCGAACATTATTTGGAAATTGTGTGTGTATGCCTGAAAACTATTTCTTTCAAGTTAATTAATGATTGATGAAGAATATCTGATGATATCTTCCATTTGTTTATTGTCTTCGAATTACTTCTCACACTCAAAAGTTTTAACAGAATCGGGTATTATTTGTCATGTCGAACAATTTTCCCACGATTACACCTCAACCAAGTTAACACTGACATAGTATGAAACCGGGATGAGATTGAGATCTACTGAATCGATGATACTGGAATATTCGAAAGTCCATCCAGAAACAAAATATCGGTATTCAACAATGAGTATTACGTGTTACAATTCTGAATAAATTCGATTATATAATAGTTCTCGTTCTGCATGAAAAAACCATTTTTCAGAGTAATATAATATAANTGATCAAGGAATTCAAAAAAAAGACGGTTGTGGATATAAAGTCAGTGGCGTAAAAAATAAGGGGGGAAATATAAGCTATTACCCCGCTGGAACGCCACTGGCTACTGATACTGAAGCAAACATACCACTGGAGGAAGCACATTCTAGCTCGTAATCGATTTGCTGAGTTTCATTAATTTATTCCTTTTAGTCCGGGAGCTACGACGAAAAGGGTCTTTTTATTTTGCAACTTCAACGCCCTGTATTTCTGAAACGGCTCATTTCCGGACACACATGTCTCACCTCATTTTTCATCATTTTGCAAGAGGAATGACGTGGTATAAGTTTGTCCGTCGAATTCTGAAACACCCTGTATATCCAAGTCATTTACATTTTTAGATTATAATTGTACTAATTTCTTAATGCAGAATCATTCGGTGGTAATGTTGGACTTTCCCTTAGTCAAGCGATGTCACTAGCAGGAATATTCCAGTGGGTGCTAAGACAATGGAGCGAAACTGAGAACAATATGACTTCCATAGAGCGGATTCAAGAGTATATAGATATTGAACCAGAACGGGACTCTAATTCATTCATCCCTCCAGAATCTTGGCCAAATTCCGGAGGCATTGAACTCGTGAATTTATCCTTAAGATATTCTGCGGACGGCCCGTTCATTCTTAAAAATCTCGTTCTCGAAATAAAACCAAAAGAGAAGATTGGGATAGTTGGACGGACAGGAGCCGGAAAATCTTCTCTCATTCAGGCTCTTTTTCGCCTGACAGACATCGATGGAAGCATTTTGATTGATGATGTGGATACAAAAAACGTTCCCTTGAAAATACTCAGATCGAAAATATCAATTATTCCCCAAGAACCTGTTTTGTTTTCTGGTAGTCTCAGGAAGAATTTGGACCCTTTTGATGACTACAACGATGAGGTATTGTAATTTATTGAATATATACTTATTCACTTATGTAAGGGTTGAAGCTTCCTTCCTTCCTTCCTTCTTTATTGGCCGCTGTTTCCTATTTAGGCGCAATTGGGTCCAGCTCAATACCTGGGGTTGTCTTTATCTGAGCTAAGCCCATGAACAACCCATTAATTTGTTCAGTTCTTCTGTTCAATTTGTCCACTTTTTAGTATTTTAAAAAAATGAATATTGTTTAGAGACGGACATTATTTGTTTGGTAAAATCATATCTCCACGTGGACATCCGGTCTATCCCGGCCTCCAACCGGCGTGAATGGGAGTGCTGTTTCTCTTCAACACTTATAGACTGTTCACAAATATGTTTAATTTAATGGTGGCACGTTCTATGACATTCACGACGCAAACTGGGTTTCGTCTCCGACAATGGCGTCCGCGTACCTTCTTTATGGACGGTTGCTGTCGGCACGTCCGTCCACCACCACATCAGAAACGAAACTCCAAGGGTTAAAGCTATGAGTGTCAGCTCCTTGTATATCATGGCATGATGAAAAACAATTGCTTTGTCATCCCTGATTTCGTATACTCCTCTTTTCCTCTGATATATTGGTGGTGAATCAGAAGAGTAATAATGATCCAAACGCGTAGAATTGATGAATATTATATTAAGAAGCTATAGTAATTATATTTGTTTCAATATACCTACATTTATGAAAATTATTCACATATTTCAAAATGAATTATCACTCAGTGAGTTGATGAATCACGGATTATTTTTTATGGCCTCCAGTCATGCAGTTTTGCATGTTTTGCAAGAAAGATACCAGATTTCAAATCCAGTAGCTCTTTTTACATCTAAGGTTGAAATTATATTTTCAATTATTTCTTTCAAGAACAAATTGAAACAGCAAATAATGCAGTCTGCAACGCAAGTGAGGTGATCAAAAAATCTTTCAGATATCTAGTCAGATTCTTCTGTTTTTTTCACCTTCTTCAGTGAAAATTGCTTCTATGACTTTGAGTTGTTTATTTTTTTACCAAAAGTTTGTAGGATGATTTTCACATCGATATGCGGGTTGCATTTAAAAATGCAACCATTAAAAATGGTTGTTTGTTGTTTTTTGTAACTTCAACAGCTTGTTTTTCAACTACATTTCACATTTCAATGGATCTGTCAATATTACATAATATTCGACAAATCGATTTCTAGGTGAACATGAATCTACAGGTTCCTTCAATGAAACGTTGCATGTTTCTCTCCTCTTTTCATACATTTTGACGTCGTATCGACGATATATGTAACTTTCGACTATCAAGTTGGCGGAAATTCGGTTAAAAAAACCAATTGCAGAATTGTCGACGTTTAGAAACTTTATTGTTTCATCGAAATGTTGGAGGAAACCAATTGCTGAGTTGTCGACGTTTCGAAACTTTATTGTTCTATCTTCAGGACTCTGAATTGTCGACGTTTCGAAACTTTATTGTTTCTTCTTCAGGGCTCTGAAGATGAAACAATAACATTTTTGAAACTTCAACAATTTAGCAATTGGTTCTCGTCAACATTTTGCCCGAATTCCCAACAACTTAACAATCGAAATCATATTCAGTGGTCGCCATCCCATTCAAAACTAGAAATATTAACTTTCTTATACTATTGAAACTACTTATTCTTCTGATATATCTGAGAATAAAAACTTACAATGGTTTTGTCATGAGTTCCGTTCCATGGTGAGAGATAAGTGCTTTCAAAATATGAAAGTCAAAATCAGGTCCGTATTTTATTATAAAGTCTATCATTGGTCAAAACAGGGTAGTAAATCAGATGTGATACAGGGCCGAATGCAGGACAGGAATCGCTACAAAAACAGGTATGTATTTGCAACAAAGGTGAAGGTGGCCATCATTAGACGAAACGTACTTGCGAAATTTAATGACACTTAATGAAAGAGTGTATGAAAAAATCCAAAAATTCTCCTAGTATCTTTTTTGAAAAGTAAGAGCTCCTAATCAAATATCTTGCAAACTCCTGATGCCAATTTCAGTACACCGTTTGATTCAACTTGAAAATATGTAACTTTCATTTAATTCAACCGACCTTTCAACTTTGGTTCAAGAGATCCTGATAGTGCCTGACTTGGAAAAAATAGACTGTATATAAATTTTTGACTATTCAACAAGTGAAACGACATGTTTCAAAACTTGCTTTGAAATAAATTTGATAGAGTATTGTGTCCGCCAGAAAGGTTTGTCTTACGAAATTTGAGCAAAATTGCTTCAATCTCCATCAAGTTTGAAAATAATGAAATTTTGTTTTTACTAAACAGTTTTCAAAACCGCAAAACGTGTTTTACTATACAAAATTTCAAAACATACAGAGCATTTCTTAATGGTCCCCCCCCTTTTATTTTTTGAATGGGTCAACTTGAAAAATTGAAATGTGCGATAATGAAATCAATGCATAAATACTTTATTTTGAAGTGAAATTGACAGATGAAACTTTCAAGATGACGACTGGGTGCCATCTGGAAAAAAAATTAAATGGAAAGGGGTGTCTTGTGATAAATCATTTTGAAGTTCCTGCCGAATACTTCACAACCGTAGAATATGAAGTCAATATCTTCTTCTACTACAAAATGGCGAAACATTCAATAATTTCCTGAAGACAAACCCATTAATACGATATTTTCAGAAATATTCCTTTTTATCTCTCATATGGCAATTCCAACAACCGGTAAGGTTTGTGAAGTTTTTTTTTTATAAAAACGCCAAAAAATTCCTCTACGATAATGAACATCATTATTCCGTTGGAATATTCTCATTAAGTTTTCGGTTTTTCCAATATCCACAAAAAATTAACGTTTGGGCAGGAATATTGGGAAACTATATCGTAGGACCTCTTTTTATTGATCAAAATTCAACAGGGGAACTGTATTTGGATATGCTGGAAAGTACTGTTGACCCTCTCATCACTGAAATCGTCGAAGCGAATCCTAATGAATTCGATATGGATATTGTATTCCAACAAGATGGAGCACCACCACATTACTCCAGACAAGTAAGAAACTATTTGGATACTTCTTTTCCCGGTCGTTGGATTGGCCGTCGAGGCCAGCCCGCTCGCCAGATTTGACACCTTTTTTTATTGGGCTATTCGAAGCAAGAGATGTACGAAACTGAACCTGCTTCAGTATTGGATTTACGGCAGAGGAAAATGAATATTTGTATGTTCGGCGTGAAATATCGGATAGGCTGTTCATATGTCAAAAAGTTCAAGGCAGCCATTTCGAGCATCTTCTGAACTGACCTCAAGGTTATCACCTCATATTATGTAGTTAAATGTCAATGTATTCGGGCAATTATTAAATGTTCCGCCATTTTGTACTAGGTGAAAATATTGACTTCATATTCTAGGGTTGTGAAGTATTCGTCAGGAACTTCAAATTGATGTGTCACAAGACCCCCTTTCCATTCAATTTTTTTCCCAGATAGCGCCCAGTCGCAATCTTGAAAGCTTCATCTGTCAATTTTACTTCAAAATAAAGTACTCATGCATCAATTTCATTATCACAAATTTCAATTTTTTGAGTTGACCCGTTCAAAAAATAAAAGAATCGTTTTATTTTCAAAACGCAAAGAGTTAGACATGCTGCAGCCCTTTTTCCTACAACATTAGAGGTAATGAAAAATTGCACAGTCGAAAAACGAAGAAAAAACGGTCAACAGTTGCATGTGATCAATATAAGCTATAGCTTATTCGATATATCAAAATAAGATAGCGTACAAGTAGTCCCTCTCAAATATAATACAATTGTGACAGCGTTTTTTCGAATCCTGAAGCAGGGAGCAAAATCTGGTGAATACAGTGGCTGATGCAGATGACGGTGTTGGTTTTGGCCACAAAATCACGATGAAACAGTGACGAATTAACATCAATTTTGGAAGGAACTTTGCTGCCACACTCTTCATGCCCATATGGGGTTACTTTTTGGTAATTTCCATAAATGTAAGCAAAAGATCAAGATGTTCGGAACATTAGCCGCGGCTATTTCATTTTGTGCATTTATTTCGGAAACACAAATTGATGACGCATGTGTAAATATTTTATTGTCCCAGGTGTATATCCTAGGCTTTTCAATGAATGTTTCACAACTATTTCTTCATTTTCTCATAATGTTTCAAAACAATTATTGTTTTCCTATACGTTTTGAAACACTAAATTTCAATAAACCCATTTAAAAACAAAAATGTATGAAACTTGTTGCACAGACTGTCTAATGCGGTTTAAAAACGTAGCATAAACAAAAAAATCTGTTCATCCAAATCTGATCGATATTTATGTACTTTCACCAACCGTTATCAGTAAATTTCCTCTCTACAATGAAATCCCTGCTCTGCTGATGCGGCAATTAAATTTCAGGCCAGCTGATACGCGATAAAAATCTCATTACTCGCACATTTATACTACAGAATTGACAATCGCGAAGTCAGATGATTTGAAGCACTCGGCGAGAGAAGGTGCTTCACTGCCAAAAATACTTATATACACGGAACAATCAATCGTAAAATGTGATAATCAATCGACAACGAAGTTCCATCGACTGTCTGTGATATAAATTTTAGTGAAATCTACATACAAAACTCCCGTTATTGTGATTCTTGTGTGAATTTGAGGTTACTGTCGTTCATAGCACATGTAAGTGGGAGTAACATATCGATTAGTTAGTCAGTTTTCGGGTCCGAGAACGATCTACAGGGATACTCAAAAGTTATGTTGTCCTCGAGGAGGAATGAGTATCCGCGTTTTTCGTTGTCTTTTTCGCTTCTTCAAACGCTGCCTCTGGTATTTTGTAGAGTAAAATTAACAATAACAACTGAAACATTGATATCTAAATTGTTTTATAACATTCCATTTGGAAAAATTATGATCAAGTATGTTTTTAACCATGTATTTCTATACAAAGTTTTTGAAGTAAATACGATAAGTAATCGGTAAATGCAATATAAAACATACCATACTGTTTGGAACAACATTATTCAACAAATTAATTCATGATGATAAGAGATTTACATTCATTGTACTGTAGAATATTGACCTTTTATTTCTGAATTTAACTTTTCGTTTCGAGGAACTGTTCAAAATTTTCGATGCAAACTCAATCAAATTATAATAAATGAATGGATTCCTCTCCGATTGGCATTGAGCGTCAATTTTAGTGATGTTTAGCGAACATACAACTGACATATTCAGCACCCTAGACATTAAACATTATTTTTTTCAATGTCTAGGCGTTAAAACTTACTTTTTCTTGTAATGTTAGTAGCTAAAATACTATGATAGGTATCAATGGTTATTATGGATATTCATAGTAATGTGTAAACAAGTTCCCAACATTACTCTAATGGCTTCATTATCCGTTTGTCTATACTATAATTATTCTTGTTTATTTATGAATTACTGCTACGGGTGATTTTTAAGAGGTATAGGATTTGATTTTCAAAACAACACAAAAAAATTCGAAAAAATTGATGAAATCTTTATTGTAATCGATAGAACGATCAATATAATTTAATGTTTGAAAATAATTTCATGCAAATGTTGTCCGCGGCTACACTTTAGATGTCCCATGCGCAAGCTCCAATTTTGGCACACTCTCTCTAACACATCGACCGGTATTTCACTTATAAATGCTTCAATATTGGCTTCCAGCTTGGTTCGTGCGGAACGAAGCCATTCGCAGAGATTTGCAGCTGCCTTTCATTCGGCAGTCCATTCAGACGAGGAATCAGCGAGTTTTTGAAGGTACGGAAACTCACGAAAACCCGTTAGTTAGGGAAGCCACAGATTATGCTGTAGACGACCTCTCCCGATATAGAAGGCCCCGACACTCTGTCGAATGAGGCCCTCATTTCCCCCGTTAACGGACGAATAATTTTTTCATCCATCCCACCCCAGCCAGGTAGGGGTATCCCGTGAAGGGCTGCACTGATGTCTGAGGACTTCATACCGCCATCCCCTCAGTTATGAACCCATTGGTCCTTCTCGAGAAGGGTAAGCCGAAAGGGTGAGGGAGCGGGACTCCAAGCCTGAATGACACGAAGATGACCTTCCAGCGCGTCAGTCGTTGCTGGTGTATCCCTGTAGGTAGACACGAGCTTCAACATGACCCCACAAGAAATAATCCTAAAGCGTTAATTCACACGATCTAGGCGTCCAATTGACGGGCCCCAAACGTGAGATATAATGTTCACTAAAGGCGGCTCTTAATTGGGCCATTATTTCGCGTGTCGTGTGGCATGTAGCACCGTCTTGTTGAAACCACATGTGAGGTATGTCCAATTCTTCCATTTTGGGCAACAAAAAGTCGCCAATCATCACACGGTAGCGCTTGTCATTCACAGTAACGTTTCGGCCATTATCGTATTTGAAGAAGTGAGGCCCGATGATGCCACCGACCCATAATCCACACCAAACAGTGACTTTTTTGGGATTCCTCAGTAGCTCTTGCATTGGCGGCTGTTCTTCACTCCAGATGCGGCAATTTTGCTTGTTAACGTATCCATTCAACCAGTAATGAGCCTCGTTGCTAAACACAATTTTTCGATTAAAATATGGATCTTCCTCCAACTTTGCCAGCGCCCATTCACCAAATGGCATACGTTGTGGGAGATCGTGTGGCTTCAGTTCTTGCATCAGCTGTATCTTATAAGGTTTCACACCCAAATCCTTTCGCAAAATGTTCTACGTAGTGGAATAACAGGGGCCCAATTTCTGCGAACGGCGGCGAATCGACATTTCACGGTCATCACGAACACTGGCGGATACAGCCGCAATATTTTCTTCGGTCCTCACTCTACTTATGCGTATTGGTGATTTAATGTCCAATAATGTAAACTGGGTTCGAAATTTAGTCACAAGCTTCCGAATAGTAGGCCGACGAAACTGTCCATAAATTGGAAGCAGTGCACGATGCACTTTCTTCACCGAGCATGAATTCTGATAATAAAATTCAATAATTTGCAAGCGTTGTTCATAGTTAAATTATAGACCAAACTGAACTAGTTTGACAATAACCCAAGACACGATTCACCTATGATCCGTCAAAAACAGTGTTGCCAAAAAGATACCAGCAAAAAAATCACTCATTACAAGCGACGATATTTTGTTTTTAGGGATCCAAGAAAAGGCTTTCATTATTTGTTCTTGCAGCTATAAAGTTCAATATAACCTTTGACTAGTGTTGATGATCTTCAACCCCCATGCCTTTTCAACGTGGTTATATCTTGTGATGCACTATTTGGAACCTCTGGTGTAGTAATGAATATTAGGTACTGGAATTTAATCCCAACACCAAACCATCAAACCAACAGTCTTCAAGATCAAACTAACCGTTTAATATTGAAAAGGAAGATTTACCTGTCAGTTTAATCTTGAAGATGATCAGTGGGTGATCAAAACACGTGTTGAGGTGTTAAAAATAATGGTTTGGTGTTGGGATAAAACTTGAGTAATATTCAGTGGTTATATATGTCTTAGAGTCCACTAATAGTGTTGAAGAACTTTCGGAAAAACAGTGCCAAGTAAATTGTTGTGAGTTTGGTCATTTTAAAAATTTCTTTTAACAGTCGGTAGGCTGGCAGTACGACGTAGGTGCTTTTTTCACTCACCCGAATTGACTGCCTTGTTGGTCGGTGGTTCAAGCCCTAGCCTGAACGATCGATTTTCACTTGCTATCGTCCAACCCGTGTTAGGAATCACACGTTAAAAGGTAAGACCTCGTTAGTCCTTAACTCGCCCAAATTTCGACTTCCGAGGATTGTCGGTCGTAGGGGTGCGACAGCTGGTTAACGGAAAAACAGATTTTAAAAACAGGCAGACAGAACAGAGATTTTTTCAAATTTATGGATACCAAACCGTTGTTTGTAGGCTTCACCATTAGTAGTAAATAATGTTTCCTTCAATACAGATGGCTCAAAAACCAAAGAAGGCTCAGGATGTGGAGTGTACTCCAGATCACTAAGCCTAAGGATTAAGTGGGGAATGGGAAGAAATACCAGCGTGGTCCAAACAGAACTGGCTGGTATCTCAATCGCCACAAAAGAAATAACCAAGAAAAGAATTTCTGGCAAAAACATAACAATCTGCACTGATAGCAGACAAGCACTATTAACCTTGAACAGACACCATGTTACTTCAGGGCTAGCACTAGAGTGCCACCAAGATTTAGCCAAAGCCTCGGTAGATAATAACATTATCCTGAGGTGGGTTGAAGGGCACGACATTGCCGACTCTTTACCCAAGGAAGCGGCTGGACTAAGAATTTTAGGACCAAGTGGCACCCACGGCCTGATGACTTCGACAATTGCGGAACTAGTCAAATGTTACGCCCATGCTCAATCTTTAAAGAGATGGGATGAAATCAAAGGATGTAATCTTGCCAGGATCACCTTGGGCGACCCTGGGAAGCTGGCGCCGAAGAAATATCTGGCGATGACCAGGAAAAATCTACGCCTTTCAGTAGGATTTCTGACTGGCCACTGTCAGCTAAGGAAACACCTACATAATATGGGGCTAGTGGACACACCTCTATGCAGGATGTGTGAACAGGAAGATGAGACTGTCAGGCATGTCCTGTGCGAGTGCCCGGAGTTATCGTCAATAAGAGAGTGTGTGTTCGGCGAGTCTTGGCCTACACCTGCCGATATAAAGGAGATGTCTCCCAGCGACCTGTCCACCTTCCTGGAAAGGACAGGATGGACGACGACCTAGGAGGACAACTCCTCGGGAGGATGTACAATGGGTCACATGTGGCCTAAGTGCGTGGGCTTACACTCACCATCCCTACTCTACAGATACAGAGAGATGTTTCCTTCATATCTTAGTTCATTTTTTTCCATTCGGTATAGCTCATCACTACTACACTCTTCCGCTTTAGCAAAACTTGAAGCGACCTAAAATGGAAGAAATTGTTTACTCAATGATGAATTTGAAAATTATTCTGAATTCTTACATTTTCAGATAACTATGTTTTATCTCGAGCTTCCGTAGTAAACAGCTGAAATTGTAGTTTCTGTAGTACTCGGTATTTTTGACATGGTAACCATCTGATTGACGCTTTGAAAACGCTTGCAGTTTGAAATATTTGAATATATCAATAGTACTGTTAATTTGCAGTGTAGTTAGTCTTCAACATGTGAAGTCGAAGATTTCAATTTCTTGGCTCATTCCGCAAAGTCCGTCAGTTTTCTAAAAATGGTCCGATATTTTATTTTTTCTTTTTATTGACGTAAACCATACATTTTCTATAACATATTTCATAAAGTTTCTAGATTTTGTAGGCACCAAATTATATTCTGCGTCTTTTGCCCGACAATTTTACTTGCCAAAACAAAAAAATTATAATTCCATGACATGTTTTTATGGCAATAACAAGATAATGGTGAAGTTTTCAAATTACGAGAAACCCATGTTTACATGGTGTCTTTTTTGGAACGAAATTCCTTGTAGCTGGTTATAGTCCTTAAGATTAATGGGTTTGAGAATTCGTTGCTCAATAACCAAATAGATTTGAATAATTCCCCTTTATTTTTAATGTTGAAATTGGTAACTAGGGTAAATTTTAATTATATAAGACTCTTTTCTTTCAATTTCATGTCCATTTCAATGAGCTTATTCCCAAAAACCAATTATTAGTAAGGTAGTACAAGTCCCCATGATGCAAATTTCTATAATTGATAAGGATCATGATATAGAAATTAATTTAGTTTTGAGCACGCTTGTAGAAAACTATTATTTGGTTTAAACACGTTTATCGTTTCTGTAAACTGTCAAATAAAAGTGTTATTTTAAGATTGAAAACTCTCAGTACAAAACAGTGACGCCAGTGCCAAGCAATAGAAGAAAACAACAGAGGTTGATAAATACCTAGTGGGGGTAAGGATGAAATAATATAATTACATGAAAATGGTATTTTGATAAATAATTTATTATTAAATAAGCTCGTCACAAATTGCTACATGTAAACTGCCTTTGAACGAAATGGGTTCTTTCAACCTTGAAGAATGAAGTCAGCGAAATCCCATTCCAGGAGATACATATACTTTTCTTATTGTCATTTGTTTTGTATTCACTGAAAGAAAAATATTGTTTCAAATATCACTTTTTATATTTTCTCCTGCAAACAGGAATTCACTTGAATGACAATTACAATGACAAATGTCGTAACTATAAGAACTCAAGTAGCGATGTATTGTTTTCCTTAGGGGCATCACCATTGTAATTTTCATTTTTATTATCTCCGTCTTATTCTTTAAGTGGTCACAATTATTGGTCCTCAAACGTAATTACTTTTCTCTTTTTCTCTGTCTTGACTATTGTGCAGAGTGTGCAAGGTCATGTTTCATAAAGCAAAATCAAATATTACTTATGCCTCAACGTGATTTATTTATTGAAACACATTTTCAGCAAATTGCTGTCCAAATTCAAAAGAGAGAAGAGTCAAAAGTGCCAAAATTCTGTGTTCGTGGCTGATAAACATACAAATTATCACTTTTTTCTCAAGAACTATGAGCAATACAGAAAACTAAAGGCATTATGAAGTTTACATTTCAATATTTTACTCTGATGAACATATGAAAAAAATATTATCTGTTAACCAAATTCTCGTTCACTATCGGGGAGACCATCGAACAGTCAAAAGGAGTCGCACAGTTGAAACTTGGGAAGTTTTGCGTGAGTACACTTCCAGTAATGAGCTGTGTATCTATTAGGTTGTCTTAAAAGGTTTGTCCGTTATCATGAGTCTAATTCAGACTGTAATATGTCAGTGAATACTCACTCATATCAATTGAAAAAAGCACCATTTGAATCAGTACACTTTTGCCAACGTAACAAAAGTCGAATGATTCCGTCAGCATAAAAATTGTGTGATCGGGATTCGATGAAGTCGACGATGGCCGTTTATGCCTGGTCCTGATTCGGAAACGTTCGGGAACATCCTGAAACATCTCAGATCATAATAAAACTTTCCAGAATAGCTTATTGGTATGGGTGAAGCTACATAATGGTAGGGGTATATAAAGTAAGGTTCATAAATAAGAAATAAATGGTTGATTCGAAAAAATGAAATGAAAAAAGCTTGTGGTTTCAAATGGAAATGTGTCCTTATATAGGCCAAACGTGTAGTATATTCTCCAAAAGGAATAATGAACTTCTCATTCTTACATACATATGTATTCTAGTTTTCTGAATAAAAACTCAATCAATCATTTGCCAGGAAACTTACAGTAATTGAAGGCGATGAAATCTTCCTTTACCAAAAAGTCATCTGTGAAATAGACAAAAGACGAATCTAGTTGCCTTGCAGTGGAAACTGTTGTGATAGACAGAAGATGATTCTCGTTTGGCGGTGGTCGAAGCTTGGCTTTTCAGTTGACCGCCTTGGGGAGCCTCGTTTATCCTTGACATTATTGGATTGAGTCTTCAGTCCATCTCATAAGTGGAGTCTCTGGAGTAAGTGGAATCACGATGTTTCCGCCCCTACTTGTCTTTCTAGAAAACTTGGGTCTTGCAATGCATTAATGCTTCAGCCTAGTGCCACGGATGAGACCTATAGTGGATCGAAACACTTCTGTGTTGGATCACGAATATTTGTATCTGGGCTCTGGTTCCATCTAAATTATATAGTTTCATTTGTGAAAATGAAATATTATGCGATGGGGAAAAATATGGGGCTAGATTTCCTAAAATGATGTGCATTTGATAAATTTGAATATGTTGCAAATTTCGACGAACTAATCTCGATATTCTGGTTCTATACTTTTCTACTTTATTCGTATAACAAAAATCACTGTTAGTCATATTCAAATCAATTTGAATATTCAGTAGTTAGCTTGTTGAATGGAATTATTATACCTTTTGTTGGGGATTTCCCTGGTAATAAAACTCATTCTCAGAAGTTTTTATTTATTATATTCGGTAATTTGATTTTCCTAGAACTATTTCAGTGAGCGGAGAAGATAAATGCATGTTGATTTTATTTTTAATGTAGGGGTTTGATGTTTGTAATGTAGGTTAAGTTTTTCAGACTAGTCTAATTCTGCTCAAGATATGTATATATAATAAGATGTAGTAAACTAATAAGTAATTTGTTTGCAAAACCGGTTTCATCATTGAGTTGTTTGAGTTGAATGCTCTAGTTCAAGTATAACGAGTGTAATAAAAAATTTCAAGGCAAGTTTCCGGACAAGTCATATGATAGGACATAAGAACTCATTCTTTGAATATTTTGTGCCTTCTCCAAGATATTTGACTATGTAGATCAATGAGCAAAGATGACTTGATAAGCGTCCACAGTACAAGGTGACTGAACTATAATGCACTGAATGTTGCGAATTTCAGTTGGTGTGAAGTGTTACCAGTTCAATGTCCTTTCGTAGGACAGGTAGCCATGTTTGATTTGTTCCGTCATCACAATTCAACCGTTGTCATTGTTTTAAAAAATACGCATCTTCGTCAGCTCTAAGGAAATCGTAGAATATTAGGTATACTTCAAGAAGAGAGTATTTTTGCATGAAGATAGATAAGTACAAAGTCAAAATCTTTGTTTATATTTGTTTTAATATACCTACATTTATGAAAATTATTCACATATTTCAAAATGAATTATCACTCAGTGAGTTGATGAATCACGGATTATTTTTTATGGCCTCCAGAAGATACAAATTATATTCAAGAACTGAGTTTGGAATGTACAGCAAGGAGTAATCAAACTATCCCAAATTATTTTCAGATACTGTGGAATGCTCTCGATCAGGTCGAACTCAAAACCATCGTGTCTGAACTGCCAGAAGGTCTGAATAGTGAAATGGCCGAAGGCGGATCCAACTTCAGTGTGGGACAAAGACAACTAGTTTGCCTTGCTCGTGCCATAGTTCGCAACAACAAAATTCTAGTTCTAGACGAAGCCACAGCAAATATAGATCCGCAGACAGACTCACTGATCCAGAGTACCATAAGACAGAAATTCGACAACTGTACAGTATTGACCATTGCTCATAGATTGCACACCATCATGGATTCAGATAGGGTCTTGGTCATGGACGCTGGAGAAGTGAAGGAGTTTGGTCACCCACACTTGCTACTTCAGAATGACAATGGGGTCTTTCAGGGGCTGGTGAAAGAAACTGGATCAGCCATGGCCGCGAATTTACGAGAAATTGCAAAGCAAACTTCACAGAATATCTCAGGTACTTAATTTTATTCATTGATGTGATTTAATAAATATATCTATCATTTATGGAGGTTTTTTTAACAAAGATAACTATGAAAAATTATTGGATGAAAAGAATTTTTTTGGACATATATTTCACTTTCGCTACCCGGATTGTATATACAAGAAAAACAGGTGAAAAAGTAGAAGGCCAACAACTTTCTTTCTCAAAAATTAATTTCCCGTGAAAATTACCCTTTCAATTTGAACAAGATTCATATGGCTGGGATTTATTCATAGAAGCGAATGAATGTTATTTATGTACTGTCATCGATGACATGGGTGGATTTGTCCCATTCCGCGATAAAGAGTCGTAGTCATTAATATACACATACGAGAGAGTAATACAAATCTAGCAAATGCCCTTTATTGCAAATGCAAAGAACGTTTTACCGAGTTTTTTGCAGAGGAATTCTATATATTTTTTGAAGTCAAGTTTGCTGTTTAGTTGTGTTCCTGAAAATTTAGTAGGAGGTGAGGTTGTCAAGGAAACCGAATCTATATTTAGATTCAAATCATTAGACTTACCCAGCTTGCTAATGAATTCAACGCAAACTGCTTCAGACATATTATCAATGAGATGGTTTTTTGGCACCATACTGTGAAGTTGTTAATTACATGGGTTAGTTTTTCTTTCAGGAGGGATACGTTCTCTGCTATTACTATGATGCTTATATCGTCTGCATACATGAATGGCTTACCATGTACAATGAAACGAGGTAAATCATTAACATAAAGATTTTGGTCTGCCATTCTTCTGAAAAATGCTCCAAAGAAGATCTGATCTGAGCTTTATAAAGCATCAAAAGTTTCTGAGGTGTATACAGTTTTCTGGTTCAAAACAGTGCTCCAAGCTTTTGGAGAAGCAGCTTTTGCAATTCCAGCGACATGATTGTGCCAAAACATTTTGGTGTCCATTTTAACCCCCAACTATCTTATCAAAGCAGAAAGCGAAATTGTCTGTTCTGGCAGTATTATATCCGATTCGGAGATATTTATCTCTTGAATTGAACCTGGTTAGTTTCACTTCGATTCGACGGTGACCATCCAGTGCAATGCAACAAGATGAGAATGATTGCCAATGAACCAGTCGTAAGGCTCTAGAGAATCATTCCACAGAGCCGTAGGGCGCTATGCGGCATGGTTAAGTTGCTTGAAATGCAAGTTTCTAAATTCACAAAATGAAAGTTCCATTCTAAAATCTGTTAGCCACATACAAGAACTTAAAGTTCATTTCTTTAGCTTTGTTTACTATCTGTCTTCAAGCATAGCCCACTGACTAATAAGAAGGTGTTTCTTCCTCATTCAGAAGAATCGGGCAAATTTCAAATATCCAGTTGGTTAGTACCTCGACCACTAGATGGACTGACATTTTGTTGTTCGCTCCAACTTAGAAAGAGGAATGAAATACTCTGAAAGAATTTCGATTTTCAATTATGGAATATCATTGACTTTAGGTCGATGATGGCCACTATCTTGTACTGACGAGTGGCTAAGGAGCCCGAAACCGGTCTGCAAGTGTGCCCGTTCCAAAATTGAAGGTCGACTCTTTCACTTGTATTGCCAATTGCATATGCAGGAAATTTTCTGTGTATTGGTATGGGTGAAGCTACATAATGGTAGGGGTATATAAAGTAAGGTTCATAAATAAGAAATAAATGGTTGATTCGAAAAAATGAAATGAAAAAAGCTTGTGGTTTCAAATGGAAATGTGTCCTTATATAGGCCAAACGTGTAGTATATTCTCCAAAAGGAATAATGAACTTCTCATTCTTACATACATATGTATTCTAGTTTTCTGAATAAAAACTCAATCAATCATTTGCCAGGAAACTTACAGTAATTGAAGGCGATGAAATCTTCCTTTACCAAAAAGTCATCTGTGAAATAGACAAAAGACGAATCTAGTTGCCTTGCAGTGGAAACTGTTGTGATAGACAGAAGATGATTCTCGTTTGGCGGTGGTCGAAGCTTGGCTTTTCAGTTGACCGCCTTGGGGAGCCTCGTTTATCCTTGACATTATTGGATTGAGTCTTCAGTCCATCTCATAAGTGGAGTCTCTGGAGTAAGTGGAATCACGATGTTTCCGCCCCTACTTGTCTTTCTAGAAAACTTGGGTCTTGCAATGCATTAATGCTTCAGCCTAGTGCCACGGATGAGACCTATAGTGGATCGAAACACTTCTGTGTTGGATCACGAATATTTGTATCTGGGCTCTGGTTCCATCTAAATTATATAGTTTCATTTGTGAAAATGAAATATTATGCGATGGGGAAAAATATGGGGCTAGATTTCCTAAAATGATGTGCATTTGATAAATTTGAATATGTTGCAAATTTCGACGAACTAATCTCGATATTCTGGTTCTATACTTTTCTACTTTATTCGTATAACAAAAATCACTGTTAGTCATATTCAAATCAATTTGAATATTCAGTAGTTAGCTTGTTGAATGGAATTATTATACCTTTTGTTGGGGATTTCCCTGGTAATAAAACTCATTCTCAGAAGTTTTTATTTATTATATTCGGTAATTTGATTTTCCTAGAACTATTTCAGTGAGCGGAGAAGATAAATGCATGTTGATTTTATTTTTAATGTAGGGGTTTGATGTTTGTAATGTAGGTTAAGTTTTTCAGACTAGTCTAATTCTGCTCAAGATATGTATATATAATAAGATGTAGTAAACTAATAAGTAATTTGTTTGCAAAACCGGTTTCATCATTGAGTTGTTTGAGTTGAATGCTCTAGTTCAAGTATAACGAGTGTAATAAAAAATTTCAAGGCAAGTTTCCGGACAAGTCATATGATAGGACATAAGAACTCATTCTTTGAATATTTTGTGCCTTCTCCAAGATATTTGACTATGTAGATCAATGAGCAAAGATGACTTGATAAGCGTCCACAGTACAAGGTGACTGAACTATAATGCACTGAATGTTGCGAATTTCAGTTGGTGTGAAGTGTTACCAGTTCAATGTCCTTTCGTAGGACAGGTAGCCATGTTTGATTTGTTCCGTCATCACAATTCAACCGTTGTCATTGTTTTAAAAAATACGCATCTTCGTCAGCTCTAAGGAAATCGTAGAATATTAGGTATACTTCAAGAAGAGAGTATTTTTGCATGAAGATAGATAAGTACAAAGTCAAAATCTTTGTTATGTTCAAAGTTGAGGCAAATATTTCAAGCGAGAAAAATGTCTATATGTAACATTCTAAAACAAACGTCTTTCATATGAAGATGATAAATACATAATTTATAATGAGTCGTTTCTTAAGGAATAAAAATAACTTTCATCTTCAAATATTTTTATGAGTTTTCAATTCATCAGCTAAAATACAGATTATCATTTATTGAAAAAATACGTGATTCCAATTGCTGAGAAAATGTTTCACCAAATATTTCAATCATAAAATATGTGTACCAGTGATATATCATAATAAATGTCACTGAGATGGCGATCATACATACATCATTCATAAATCTTTCGATTATCTTACTACAAAATTAACTGTGTAAACGTAATTTTGGAACTGTTTCTTCATTGTAAATTCAATGTGTAAAATCCAAATGGAATAAGTTCATTATTTCGGTTACGGTACATATTTTAACAAAATCCCGAAACAAGTCTTTTAAATTATAATTTGACATACTTCAACGGGAAAATGTTACCCCTATCTTCAACCTCCGCAGGAATTCGATAAAACACACTCAAAAACTAAAATGTAATGCAAAACGTTATTAAATGTAGAATACTAAAAAGAACTATGGATGTTAACGAAGTAGATGTTTGAAATGATCACCGCGAGCATCCTAATAAAACTGCCTTCTTACATTATTGAAGGTTTAGTTTCGTACACATTGCTCATTACATATTCCCATAGAAAGAAATCTAATGATGAAAGATCAGGTGATCGCGCTGGCCATTCAATCGATACTCGCCTCCCTATCCACTGATTGGGAAATGTTGTATCGAGGAATTGCCGGACATTAACTTGGTAATGTGGTGGTGCTCCATCCTGCTGAAACCATATCGTTTTCACTGGAACGTGGGAGTTTCCTGAATCAGCATATAAATTTGCTAAACTTGGAATGACATCATTTTGAAGTAGTGCCAAATAATTATCACCATTCAAGTTGCCTTCAATGAAAAAGGGACCAGTGATATGGTGTCCTACAATCCCTACCCAAACATTAACCTTTTGAAGGTATTGCGTGTGTTCTCTCATCCAGTGAGGATTTTCTGTTGACCAGTAGCGGCAATTCTGCCGATTAGCATGACCATTAAGAGACAAAGTACACTCGCCAGAAAACATAACGTCTTCTAATTGGATGATATTGTTATCCAACATGTCCATCATCTGCTCTCAAAAATAAGTTCTTCTATCAATCGTCTTCCATGAGCTCCTGAGTAGGTATAATTTTATAGGGATGCATTTTATTTTCTTTTAATATGTTAACTATCAATGTATGGCTAACATTGAATGTAGTGGATGCCATTTCTACTCAATGTATGCGGGTTTTCCTCAAACTCAAACATCACATCTAATTTTGAGTTCATCACTCATTGCATTAGCAGCTGCTTTTTTCATCTGCCTCACTTGATCAAGCTCGCGAAAGTGCTTCTCTATTTTGCTTATTGTTTCTTGAGATATGAGCGGCAAATTAGGAAATTTCTCATGAAATAGGCAAGCAACTTCCTATTAGGGTTCCATCTCCGTAACAAATCATTTGTAAAACTGTTATTTCATGCATTTCTGTTAATCTAACCATTTGTCAGACTTGAAGTTAACGAACTTTAAATTTAGATTAAAATACTGACAACTAATGGAATTACTTACAGTTTTTTAAAAAATACCATCCAAAAATCACATTGCTATGGTTTTTGCTTACTTTCTTATTATCAGTACCTGAACATGAAATAAGTTTTGAGTATATTGCAATAAGTTTTGAGTGTATTTTATAGAATTTTGGTAACCACATGATTTTAATTTATTTTATCTTAATTGTTGCAATAGACTTGA